ACCTTATGTACAGTAAATTGTAATAAAAAACGTGATTGTCATTAAACCTAAAGAAATATTAGAAATGGACCTGGAATCCTTAGATAAGTTGTATGTTTGTTTTTTGCTAAAGCTCTGTTAGTTAGAAGGATAAACTTATTATCTTTTTTATTTATTTTTTTAACCATATAGAAATAAATTTTTTTATTTCTTTGATTTAGATGTCATCAATTTATCGATGATAGCAATTATCCTCATATTAAATATATGGCCTCTAACAATTAACAAACTGTTACATATCAATGCATTAACTTTCATAATACGAAGGGCATAAAATCTTTATTTTACTTATGTAAATTTACTATATTTTATAATACTTTAAATAAAATCTTCATCAGTTTTATAATAAACTACCAAAGATAAAAAAACAAATCATAGATCAATAATTGCAAATTTAAAAATGGATAAACGATACTTTTTATGATAGTAAGATGGTGTAAAAAACATTTATTTTTATTTTTTTATTATGTCTATAGATATCTTTTTATTTGGCTAACGTTTAAATATTTTTTATGGTAATTACAAACAAAAAATAAATTTCAAATATCTAAATTTATGTAAGTTCATCTTGATTTAAGAAACCTATAATTTAGAATTGGCTTCGTATCATTTTTGTATTAATATTAATTTTAAATTCTGGCCAAAATTATGCTAATTCTGGCCAAAATTTATATCACGTTAAATTGTATTTTTTAAAAGTTAAATCTACTTATCTGGTTATTGTATTTCACATCCTAATTTTGCTGCATCTTTTTTAGTATAAAATTCAACATATTTAGACAATGAATCAAATTCGCCGATATGTTATAATGATCTATTTAACGGCAGATTTGCGTAATCATATGCTAGCTGAACATACTATAATAAATTTATTATAGTCAAATGACATGTGATTACTTGAATCTGACAATATTTACTGACTATGGGAAAATTTTGCCAATCAATCTAAAGCATATGACAATTGCCAAGATACAATGATGATTTACAAATTAAAGTGTCAATTATTTTTACCGACAAATAGTTCACTGACAATAAATTTTGATAATCAGATGTATAACTATAACAATAATATATAAACTAATTGTTTTCGAGATAAGATAACAAATTTGAGTTACATTATGAAATATGAAAAAATAAATTTTTTTTTATATAAATCTACCAATTTTTTTTATTGCTGTTTTCTAATTACTGTGATCTAGCATTTTTTAATAAAAAAAAATATTTTTTGAGAAAACATGTGAAAATAAAAATTTTATTGCATTTTCAAATAAAGGAGGTATGATTATAAGCTAAAAATTATAATTTTAAGAAAAAATTTTCAATCTTTAAATAAGTTTGCTTATAAATAACTTTTAAAACCGATTTGTTACACAAAATTTATAAAGTTACTTATAAGTAAACTTATTTAAAAATTGAAAATTTTTTCTTAAAATTATAATTTTTAGCTTATAATCATACCTCCTTTATTTGAAAATGCAATAAAATTTTTATTTTCACATATTTTCTCAAAAAAATTTTTTTTTATTAAATAATGCTAGATCACAGTAATTAGAAAACAGCAATAAAACAACACTTTATTAATTATTTACTCTTTTTCTTCCATCAAATCCTTTCCAACCCGTTACTTTTCTAAAATCTTTTTCTTACGTAATGTCTAACGACCTCGCTAAATTAATAAATGGTCCAGCAGATGAAAAAATCGCGTCAAAAATAGGCAATCAAAGTAATAGATCTCCAACAAAATCCCAAAATCCTAAAACTCATAAATGCCAAGTTTGCACTCATGAATTCAACAGACTGGAACATTTAAACTGACATATCTGAACTCACACTGGAGAACAATCCCATAAATGTACTTAGAACAGGTGTTCCAAAAGATTCTCCAGATCTGATGAATTGACGAGATATAAAAGAACTCATGATAACACATTTAAAAAGAGAAATCACCGAAATAAAAAGATGATTGCAGTTTCTTTTAAAAATTTGTCAACTCTTTATATCCGTGATCAAGTTCAAAATAAAGGAAATAATTCATCATCCCCATTATCTCGTACGATTACAACATATATTTTTACTGAATCTATAACTTCACATCCTAATTCTTCATGGCAAAAACCTTTTAATTGTCCAATTAATGGATGTATGAAGAACTTCACTCGACATGGATATTTATCAAGACATATACAGTCTTGTCAATCAAAATGTAATCGTAAAGAAAATGAGAAACCTGTTCACCCTCCAAGTCCTATTACATCTTGTATTAACTAATTTTTTTCAGTATTTAATATTTCAAAATATGAAATACTATTTTTTGTATAACACAATGCATAATATAAAAAGTTACTATTTTATTTAATTATTTAATGTATCAGGTGTTACTTTCTAAATGAACTGCAATTTAATTTGTATAAAAGAAAATTGTATTATTTCGTACACGGCCATTTCTTATCTCTTTTCTTCGTGTTCAGATGATACCTCTCATTTGTTATTATTTTTATTCCTTATATATATTGAAAAACTCACAGGTGTCATCCTGCTGGTATTGAATGTAATCCTAATAGCAATAACACAATTAGTTTGCGTATGTTAATTTCAAATTATTCCTATTATTATTGTTTACAACTTTTTGGGTATAAAAAATAGATACTTGCGCTTCTAGTGTTATGGTTGTTAGTCCTTCGAATGATTTGCCTGTAGAAGTCCACAGAAACAGCGGTTGTAGATATTTAAAGAATCCTAAGTTTGTTCGGAAGGAGTAAAGGTCGAATAATATCTGTGCGAAGTAATTTTAAATAAATAATGTATAATAAGTTTATTAACCAAATTTTTATATAGTAAAATACTGTATATCAGATTATCAGTATATAATAATAAGAAAAATCTATATCAATAATGATGTAATTGATGTATAAAAATAATGTCATTACGAGCTATACTATTTAATATGAAATATATTTGTCATTATAGATAAATAGTCTTTTTTTTTTTGATTGGACGTATCACGTGATCATGCTGTGGTGCGGCGGGTGCGGCGCATGATTCCCATGACTCCCATCATCCCATGACTTCATTTTGATTAACGCGTTTCGCGTTTTAGACTTGCTTATACTTTTTTTTTTTTTTATAAAAGGATTAGTAGCGCATTTCTCTATTGAAAAATTTTGAAATACTTAATAATAAAAAAAACACATTTAAAACAAACAGTATGTCGCGTCCTACTTCAGACAACTTACCCAACTAACGTTCCAAGCCTGTCCTTTTTTGCTACGCAACTCTCCCCAGACGTGGCACCAACAACCAAAGAGGAGAGGAATGACGAAACAGTGAAATTAAGAACAAGTGGAGGAAGTAAAGGGTGGCGAACAAAAGATCTCACCATCTTTTAGCTCTGAAAATCTTTTTATGGTTGGACTTTAAGAATAATGATCAGTTTTAATTAAGGTACTATTTCTTTAAATTTCATGTTGTTTGAGAAGGAAAATCTAGACCACCATAGCATGGCAAGTTGTGGGGACTATTATTCTATTCATTTACAGCGGGAATAATTATGCACCTTTCTCACGGGTCATGTGAGGTCCATTGTTCTGAAGGAGGAACAAATTATTGGCCTCTAGCACAGTGATATCTTGTCATGGATTTATTTCCCTTGGTTTCAGAGCTCTAGAAGCTCATCGTGGCCACAGTTACGCGGTCTTAGACCTGTCTCTTATACACATCTAGATGTGTATAAGAGACAGGTCTTAGACTGCTTACTGTGAACGTCTATCTCTGTTTTCAACATATAAATTGTGTGTCAAGGTTTTGCTGCCCAACCATTCATGTTGTTTAGTTTAATAGTACTCACTTGTTTCTTTTTTTTAGATTCATTAACATTGATGGTTTGCGGATTAACCACCATTGATATTAATCGGAGAATTATCTTTCTATCACAAGAATAGTGTTAAATGAGTAGCACTCCACCCAGTGTTTATTTTTCATCAAAAAATCACTGTGCAGGTGGCGCACAACGTGTAAAATTTTTATGTGCGGCATTTGGATAAACTGTACATAGCTACTCCGCTGTGACACATTGGTGCTCAATCATATGTATGCGGCACTGGTATTAAAAAAAAAAGAAATTTTATATTTATCAGATTTTGTCCATATGAAAAAACTACGCACAGCTCCGTGGTAACACATTTGCGCCAAATCATAAAAAAATTACTGTGCGGCATTAAAATTTTTTTATTAAAATTCATTTTATTTGAAATTTATTTGAATTATGAATTTGGTAATATTTATAGAAATCAAATTAAATTTCACCCCAAAAATCAATCCAAAATCTTTTTCCTGTAAAATGTTATAGTTTATATGAGATCACAAAAAAAAGCGTAAAAAAAAAGAAAAAATTACAAATAAAAAAATTTGATAATTACAATTGTTCATTATATTTTTCATTAATTTGATACTTTCATTGCCCAATAATCGTATGCCTTATTCCAATCAAACCTGCGAAAATTGTCGGGTCCATTTAGTAATATCATTAAATGTTTGTTTAATGATTCAATATTCATTCTGTTTCTTAACCGGGTTTTAGTAAGTTTGTGCTGAGAAAATATTCTTTCAACTTGCGCATTGGATAAAGGAACAATTAACGAAATTTTAATTAATTTAGAAATATTTGGAAACTCGTTTGAAAAGTCTGGATACATATTAAAATATATTCCCATCCTCCTGCTGCATCTCGACCTTTAATTTGTTTATATAATATTTCGCTACCTTCCATTCTTGCTTTACATTGTCACCATTAATTATTTTTTCCACTATATTTCCTTCATCGTCCATCTTATCTACTCCATAATAATCAGAAAGTTTTTTGATATCATCATTACCATAATTTCCTAGTTCATTTTCTTTTATAGGTGACAATTTGAGGTCGAATATGCGAAAAGAATGATACAAATCAGATTGAGGGAATCTTGATTTTATGCTATTAATTATTGCTTCAGAAAAACTTTTAATAAATGAAGGTAATTTTCTGACAAAATATTATAATCTTGCACATATTTTTGTAAATGAGTGCCATATGAACCATCAAATCCAATAAATTGAGCCGTTATCGCATCATATGTTGTATCCAAATGAATTTTTATATCTGCAAAACTTACGATTTCGTCAATATAAACATTAAATCTGCAAGATATTTTGTAGAGATGACAAATTCCCAGTCTAATTCATCAAGTAAATTCTTGGCTAAATGTGGTTTTTTCATCAAATTCAACATCGTAACGTAATGCATCAATCACCGAATTCAATATCTGGTGTAAATTCTTTACACCATTCGACATTGATAGCCATCTTGTATTAATTATATTAAGAATAGCTAGTTGAGGGCTAGTGTTTGGATCCGAAGCGGTTTTATCCGGTTTTTATCCGGTATCCGTTTCGGTTAATTCAGGATGGAACTATCAGAATTACCAATTTTTTGATTCATAATATATTAAATATTCTGGTCGAAATTATAGTCTATTCAGAACTGAGATTTACAATCTTTTTTCGGCAATAATCTCATTTAAAATATTTAAGATTTTATCCGGATCAAAACACTATTGAGGGCTAATATTAACATTATTATTAATATGATTATTGTGACATTCTTGACATTTTTTAAAAAATCGATCTAATCTAAAAATAGCAGTACATCTGTTCTTCTAACGTCTCCTATATCATCTTTAAATTTTGCATACGTCGAAAAGAACCTGAAAAATAGTAATATAATCTTTTAATATAAGTTTCGTAATGGTTAAGATATGAGATATGTTTGGCTGCATCTTTGCCAGCCAAATGTAATCTATGTGCAATACAATGCACAGATGTAATAAAAAGGATTAATTTTTTCAAATCGTTTAACAACACCTGTTTTTGTGCCAATCAAAGTGGCAGCCCCATCACTCCAAAAATGTAATAGATTTTCTAATTTTAACCCCTTAGCAATAATAAAATCTTCAAATTTAATGTAATTCCAAATTAACCATTCCTAAATATCGTGTAACTGGTACATTATGAGAGATATGCCGAGATACAATAGCTAAATGTTTTTCATCTGTAATAGAATTCGTTCATCGATCATGATACTCCAATTATTCGAATTTCTTATTTCTTCACATAATGCTTTTCGATTACATATACAATAGCTACTTCAATTTCTTTTGCAGATGTATTTGAGAGGTGAGAGCCATAATCATTTAATTCTGATGGTGAATCTTTTATAAGAAGTGATGGTAATTGTAAGGCTTCGGGAGTATTATTATAAAGTTTCATAACATCAGAATTTTTTCTATGGAAATCTATTAATTGATATAAATCAGGATAAACAGATAACGCTAAGTATTTTTTGCCATGAAATATATGCACTGCATTTGCGTTATAATTTTGATTTTTATTAGTATCTCATTGATTTAAAAATTCAACCCTTATAATATTTTGATTTCGTCTTGCTTCAACTTCTGCTTTGTTGTTTTAGATAATTATTCGTTCCTTTTGCAAGTTCATTGATATATTTTTTTTTGATTCACACCACTTACAAAACATGAATAATGTTCCATCTACATTCCTATATGCATCATTTCCATTATCCATCCATTTTGGGTCAGGATTACTTCTATTTTTACAACGTTTTACCAGATGGTTTTGATGAGTCTGGCTTTTCACTTGATGAAGCTTCACAAGAAGGTTCACATTGTTTATTTTTACCTTTGCGGGTGGTTGTGCTTCAACAAATGAAAAATATCTTTTCATTGTTATGAAACAAAGAAAAAAAAATGAATGAAAATTGCAAGTTTTCTATTTTTAATTAGTGTTAGTTTAATGCTGTAAAACACTTTTCATGAGATGATTGTCAGTATTTGGTGTTTATACCTGCGAGGTGAACGTGAAATATGTGATAGAAAATGATCATTGCAACTGTGCGCAACTGTTCGCAACTGTTCGCAACTGTTCGCAACTGTTCATAACTGCGCGCACTGTGCACACTGTGCGACAACTGTTCGCAACTGTGCGCACTGCTCGCATAGGTAAAATTTTTCTGTGCGGCACAGCGTACATCATCGCCAAAAAAGGTGTAAAATTTTAATCATGTGCGGCGCACACATGCCGCACAGTGAAAAACAAACACTGGTCCAGATTTATTTATATACTAACGATTTAATTATAATATGCTTTACTCAAAATATTAGACAAGGAAATTTATCATATATCGATGAAAATGTTATTGAGTAAATGAAACAAGATGTTCTACGAGACATTAAGCAAGAATTAAACCAAAATATAAGAACAATGTAATGACATCATTGGTCAGAGATAATAATGTTGAAGATGATAGTAGTGGTAGTAAAAATGATAATAGATAAAATAATATTTTATTAACAATATTTTATTGTCACATTCTAAATTTAGTCCACTGTCCATCGGTGATAATAAATTAAATTTAGCGGACGGATATTTTGCTCGTTTAGAAATTTGCATATAGAATATAGGGTTTTTATCATATTAAGAAAATATCAATACCAATCGTGTAATAAGTAAAGCTTAATTACTAGTATTTGCTATATGTTTGCTAGTTACGTGAAATTTTATTTGCCTGTTTATATTAAATGTTATTTTATCGCTAAACTTATTGCATATTAGGAATTATTTAATAAAACTTTACAAGTAATGAAAATAAATAAATGACAAAAGATATGAAATGGAAATGATTTAGCAAGCTTCTAAAAAAATGAATCTAATCTTGATGTTGCACAAGAATTTATGATATTGTTACGAAATTGCAGTAACTGATCATTTCGTCCCTAAGTAATTATTAATCACCAGAATTAGTTAGTTTATATTATTTTATTATGTATTTATTGTATGTTTTATTTGTTAGATTTTCTAGTGTTACAATAGATTATATTGTTAGGACATTTATTATTAGATCATTTATGTTTATTTGATAAATTGGATGATTATCGATTATGTAAGAAGGACGACTCGGGACCTAGTACGAGTTGACCCATGGTCAACCGATGCACAAGTTGACGCATAGTTAAGTCTTCCACTGGAATTTTTCATTATATATATCCTCAAGATTGAGGAGGGAGGAAGTAAGTTAGAAGAAAGTTTGGAAAAGGTTTTTTGTAAGTTCCTTAAGTCTCCGTTAATTCTATCCAGTTTTTTGAACAGATTTTCGAATCTTTCGTAAGATCAACTTTTACTTTCGAAAAAAATTTGCTTAGGAATTTATTCCAGAGCCAATAATCATATTTCTTGTGATTATTAACGTAACATTTAAATAAAAATTGATTGTCATACCACGTATAAACTATCACATCATTTTTATTTTCTGTTATCACACTGCGGTTAACGTAACAATATCAAATTTAAACCAATTAAATGTGAACTTTTTGTAATCTAATCTACTTTTAATTCTTATTCCGTAACGTTGGAAGGTGGTAAATATATTTATTTAGGTCTGATGTATTTCGGGCGGATGTGTTTACAGTTGTTTTGCAATGCAAGTTAATGTAATTTAAGTAAATGTTAATTTTAAAGTATAAACTTTATGAATAAATTAATTTAGGGCCGATGGAAATTTTTATTGGTTTGTATGGCACAGTAAAATATACTATGAATTTATTTGCTATTATTTCCAAATCATTCTTGTTGTCTACAATGATAAAGTACCAAGATCGTTGCGTGTGAGTATGTTTTTATAATGCAGATTTAATAACAACAATAACTTGACTTTGAATTCATATTTTTTAGTACAATAAAAATAAACAAAAATTTTAAAAATCTTTAACGTACACAGCAAATTGATTACCGATTGCGAATTTTAAAATCTATTCAGTATTGTTGTAAACTTAAAAGATTCTTACGAGTGACGAAACAAAAAAGGCTAATATTAGTTATACTTCGTATGTATATTGTATATTAAAAGTACAACAACTCTAATTTTATATAATAACGTACGGCAATTGTATTATCTTCGATATTCATTTCCTAATGTTGCTCAAAATTTATTAATTTCACTGAACACAATTTTTTTAAATTTTATATACAATTTAATCAAATAACCATTAAATCGTTTTTTAAATAACTTTCTTTAATTATGAAGAAATTTTTTATTTTAATCATTATTATTTTTACAATTTTATTTCAATTTATAAACGAAGTAAATACTCAATTTGCTCCAAGTGATGGAGCTCCAGTAACACTGCACCAAAAAATGAAGGAGTTGCTCCAGCTCCAGGAACTACCGCACTAAAAGATGGAGGAACTGTTCCAGGAACAGCACCAATAGATGGAGGAACTGCTACAGTGCACCAAAAGATGGGCTCCAGCTTCAGGAACTGCACCACCGTCAGTAACAGTAAACTGTAACCGGACGAGCAACAACAGCGGCAGCACCAAACGTATCAACAATAACATCAACGGTGTCATCAGAAGTTGCAAATAAGATGATAACTGCTTCAATTGTTGGAGGGATAATTGGTGGTTTAATTTTAATTTTTCTAGTTTTTTTAGTAAGAATAAATCGAAGTTTTAAAGCAATTGCAACCCTTGGACTGAATGATAACGAAATAGAAAAATTATTTTAAAGTCCTGGAATAACGAATAATGAATTATATTACTTAACCGTTAAAGTCCGTCATGTTTATTTACTCAGGATCTTTATTTATTACAACATTAAACAAAAAAAAATTGATTACGAAAAATAGCGTTACAGAAAAAAAAGGAATATGTTTTTAAAACATAGAAAATCATAAATTTGAATTTCTTCAACGTGCTAGTCCCTAAGAATGTTATTATGAAAAACTTTGCACAATAATTCAAAATCAAATAGTCTTAAAAAATTAGATATTAATAAAGTGAACAAATCGATGCAATTTGTAATTACTATTTGTTGCTGACTTAGCCAAGTCTTTAAAAACTTGTTGTCACCTGATCACCACGTTGAGGTGCAGCAACATTGATCAGGGGGGAAAGGGGAAAGCGAGAGGGAAAGGGGAAAACGAAGGGAAAGGGGAAAACGAGGGAAAGGGAGAACGAGGGGAAAGGGGAGAATGAGAGGGAAAGGGGAAAACGAGGGGAACGAAGGGAAAGGGAAAACGAGGGGAAACGAAGGGAAAGGGGAAAACGAGAGGGAAAGGGAAACGAAGGGAAAGGGAAAACGAAGGGAAAGGGNTAAGGAAAACGAAGGGAAGGGGAAAACGAAGGGAAAGGAAAACGAATGAAAAGGGGAAAATGAAGGGGAAGGGAAAGGAAACACGAAGGGGAAATGGAAACCGAAAGGAAAGGGGAAAACGAAGGGAAAGGGGAAAACGAAGGGAAAGGGGAAAACGAGGGGAAAGGGGAAAACGAGAGGGAAAGGGGAAAACGAGAGGGAAAGGGGAAAACGAGAGGGAAAGGGAAAAACGAGAGGGAAAGGGGAAAACGAGAGGGAAAGGGGAAAACGAGAGGGAAAGGGGAAAACGAAGGGAAAGGGAAAACGAGAGGGGAAAGAGCAAGGAAATACACGCACAAACTCACACACAAACCTACACACAACAACCCACATACCTAAAGAAAGACGTAAAGAAAAGGAGCCTAAGAATAAAGAGAAAACCCAGACAGAGAGACCTAAAAAATGAAGATAAAGAACAATGAAAAAAAAGAAGATAATGAAAAAAAAGATAAAGAAAACCGACATATTTATATTATTTTCAAAATTATATACTCATGAGTCATGACAAAACCCACATCAAGATTACGTGTTACATGTTATAAGGAATTATTATTTGCATGAGTAATTTTTTCACGTAACTGACGTAAGTAACTTTTAACTACCATATAACAATATAACATTATAACATATTGACTTTGTTCAATATTCTATTTTATATGGTTTACCATAATCAAATTATAAATTTAAGCAAAAATTTATAATTATCAATATATCTAATGTTTGAATGTATTTATTTATAATCATCATTTTCTTTTATTTTTTTTCATTTGGCTGAAAAGTTCGTTCAGCGATCTTTAATTTTTATCGTTTGATAATTGTGAAGCCTCTGATATTAGATAGTTCTTCTGTAGTTTCGGTAGATTTAAATAAATTTAAATAATTTCTTTACTTATTATTTGTTATGGAGAAAATTTATTGACATTAATACAAACATTTTATCGTAAAACAATATTCGCTTATTACGTTTAGAAATTTATAACTCATAGGAATGAAAATCTAGTGAAAAGTCAGGATAGTCGGGATAGTCGATGGTTAATATTCTGTCTAAATATTCTGTCCGTTGTTTTATTGTGGATATTACAATGTCCCAAAGATCCCAAGGACATTCCAAAATTAAAATGTCATCATAATAATTTTGAAGATGGTAGTAGTGGTAGTTAAGTTTATTTATTTATTCTTAACATAGAAGGATTCCTAAAATTCTGGTGAACATGACTTTCAGTTATTATTGACATTAATCGGACCATTTTATAGGATCAATCAATTGTTTATCATGTGATAAATAATGCGTATACGCGATTACAATTCCTCATTTTTTTTAATTGAATTATCATTTTATTTTTAAACATATCTTATATTAGGAATTATTTAAAAACTTCAAAGAATACGAAAATAATAAAGATATTTGAAATTACAAGATTCTAAAAAAAAATGAATTTCAAATCAATTAAAATGTTATACAAGTAATAATGTTATTAGTATAAAGTAATTTTATGGATCAAATTTAAATCAATTAAATGTATAAATTAGTATTTACATATCTATCCTCTACCGAGGGCCTTCATCCCTAACCTATACTGATTTCTATCCTCTACCAAGGGTCCTCACTAAGGTTGAAAGACAACTTTGTCTTATTGAATTATTGGTAGTGCAATAAGTGCAATATACGTAGTCTAGGCACCTATTAATGGATACTGTTAATTCATTTAAAGAGCTCTAATAGTAAAAGTTTTTGTGAGTGCCATATGCGTCAATTCTATGTAGCTAGGAGGATGATCTGATAGTTCAATAATTTATTACCTATTAGTTTTATACAACCAATAGTTTTTTATGCCTTTTGTTATTATTAATTTATTATGTTTTATCATTTAATTTTTTTATTATCAACCACCGAAAAAACATCTCTTTTGACAAATTTTTTTCCAATAAAAAAAAGGAATAAAAGTTTTTTTCAATACGCTATTTAAAAACAACTCTCTTGAAATTTTACATCATATCGTGCAATGATTAGTACATTAACAGACCCAGCGGCGATTTAATAATGATTATGATATACTCAATAAAATCAGTGGCTTGTGTTAGTTTCTGTCTCCTATTATAATAATAGGTTGTTCATATGAATAAGATGTATATTAAGGTAAATAAATACGTCATGATTAAGTAATTAAAAGCTACAAAATAATCATACATATTGTATCTTTGATATTGTTGAGTAATAGATTACAAATATTGATATCAATTATACTTTTTATACTTTTTATATGAAAAGCTTGTGCAACAAAAAAAAATAATATTTATTTCTTTTTTTTTAATATACATCTCTTTCATTCCTAATACCTTTTTTTTCGCGCGCAAATAAATACTTTCTTTTCAAATAAATATCTAATAAATACCTTTTTTTTTCGCGCGCAAATAATCTCCTCACGTCACGCGTCAGGTACAACATATATCGAACAAAAACTTTTTTTTAAGACGGAAAAAAATATATCAACATCAAGAACTATATTTACTGGTGGGACTGCCTTTGAACAACATATGGGTAACGAGTTTCGCTAGCTATTGGAAACTTATTTTGTAAGTGAAAAACCACTCCAACTACTCCTGTCAGTTTAGACGCTTTTGTGGTTCTTTTTTACATGTTTTCTGCTGTCTATCACACATTTTATTCTTTCAATTTTATAGACATTTAAGATCATCAAGATGATGCCAAATTTGGTCTCTATTTACGATAAGAGGACAAGCTAACACTAAACGATGCTAGGTCATATCATTAAGTAGTAAGTATAAATTATAATAGTTCGCCGGATGGACGTATGTGTAAGTGTGCACTGCAGGGTTCACTGAAAGTCTTCCGGATGGTGAACTGTTATGATTGACATAGGGGTTTATGTGCTCGTAGTACGTACCATTTGCTACAGGCTAGTAGCTAGCTGCTTTTGTGCACGAAGACAT